TCAGCCATACTTCAGTGAACCAAAGGTGTGACGTGCCCAGGGTTCACCCACACAGCTGAGGTGGGATGGTAAGGACAAGGCAGTCTGTGGGTGCTGCTCTCCTCAGCATGCCCTCCCTGCTTCCAGGCGTCTGCAGCTAGCAACAGGATTTAACAGTCCTTGCTGCCACCTTCTTCTGGAATTGAAGCTGCTTTCTGAACCAGCTTGTACTTGTGGCCCCTGCAACGTCCTGTGGACGTGAGTTCCACCCTTTGATTGTAGACTGAACCCAAATTACTTTTTTTCCCATTTTTTTTTCTCTTGCATTATGAGTAAGATTGAGTAATCTATGACTACAAATCATTGCTATCTCAGGATTGCTTGGAATACGAGGAAACCAGCTTTGAATCTTTTCTGGGTGCCTTTCTGGGCAGTTACAATGCCAAAAGTGGCTCAGTGCCTGAGTACATACTCACTTTTGCACGTACACCTCCTGAGGATCCACCTGATGTGCTGGACAACGCACACGGCTGTGAGTCAAGAGACGTGAGACTGGCTGCAGCTCACTTTTTTCTGGTAGCAATCTTCGCCTCAGTTTCCCCTCTTCCTCTTTGCCTCTTTTTTTCCTACTTAGATTGTAAATTGTTCTGAGCTGGCGCAATCCCTCTTTATGTGCTCAGCACTGTGGTGATGAGATCTTGGGAAAGAGAAAAATGGATACGTTGCCCTAATCCAAATCATAATGACAACTGGATGATATGGATGGACTTCTCTGAAATTTCCCTATCACTAACTTTTATGCTACCCATCACAGCTGCACATCCCTAAAGTGACAGCACCTATTGGCCTAACATTATTATGCATAATAATAATTTAACTAAAATAGCAACAGAAAATGTGCATTACACCAAATGAATTTAAATTGATTTTTTCCTCTTTCTCGAAGCTTATTACTAATTGGTATTTTTAGAGCAGAGATTCATTTTCATACACTAAAATTAATGGGCCATATCAGCGGGCGTGAATCAGGATAGCTCCATTGAATTCAATGGGTCCTATATCATTTACTCCAGTGGAGAATCTCACCTACTATTCCAAAGAGCATTTTCTTCTTTTAACTCACAAAGTAATTGCATTTTCAGTCTTATGTCCTGATCCTGCAAATAATTGTGCAAGACATTAACTTTATGTAGATAAGAAGCACTGCTGATGCCACTGCAGTTGCTCACATGAGGGAAGTTAAGGTTTTGCAGGATCAGACCTTAAAATGCAAATGAAATCATGGTAAAATCTAATGTGTTCACAGTAATAACTTAGAAATGGCAGTACTTAATATGTAGGCTGTCCGAATACTTAAAATTTCTGCAAATTATATTGTGCAGTAAAATAGCAGAAATTAGATTATTTAGGTTGATTAACACTTTTTATTTATTATTAGAAACTGTTCTTTTTTCTTTTTCTTTTTTTTTTTTTTTTTGCCCTGGAAGCTCTGTCTCCTGCATCATCTGCAGCAAATCTGAAATTCAGCAGGGAGATAACCTTTGGATTAAAGATGTGCTTTCTTCCTTAGCCCCCAAGAAATTCCAACTCTCGTCTTGCTGAGGTACAGTGTTTTGAAACAGCCAATTCGCTTCTTGCTAGAAAATTTGGCAATAACTACTGATTGAAACAGGAATTTATAAGTCTTGATTTTCTCTACCCCTTCTCTTTCCAAGAAAAGAAAAAAAAGTGCTTTGCTGCTAGTGCCCTGGGTCTCAAATGGTAGGCTGATGTGCTAACAGTGTGAGCTTAAAGCCTGCTGATGGTGCACAAAGGATGGGGTTACCAAGTTCCTTACATAACAGAGAAACAAGCAGGATGGGGTTACCGTCTTCTTTACACAACAGAGAAACAACTCTTCTAAGGAATGAAAGAAAAACAAAAAAAAGATGATGAAATTAGGCAATCACAGTTTAAGAAATATTAGAGCTTCAGGATTTTGTATCCTCTGGCCACCTTAACAATACAGTCTACAATAGCAGGCTCACATACCCTCCTTTTTCTTACCACTACTGAAATATTCAGTGTGTACGATGAGCACAATTAACATGCAATGGGCTTGACTTTACTATGGAGATAACACTTTTTTTTTTCCCCCAGTTTTTGTATGTAATATATACATTACCGTGTACTTTGAGGTTTTTTTCTGCTTTGAGGCAAATTGAGTTTGACATTTATACAAGAAGCAATAAAACTGATGCAGTCAAAGTATATTCCTAAAACAAGTTCAGTAATGTCTCTTCCAAACTACATTTGAGTTAGTGGAATAAATGCCTTTTCATGTTTGCAGTTGAAGTACTGGCCAATTCTGCCAAATGGTTTTTGGAAAATTGCCTTCAGAATTGACTTTCCCTGGGGAAGATTTGCTTCTATGGAAAACAGAGATACTGGGAGAATTTGAAAGAGAGAGAAAGCAAGAGGGAAGGCAGAGTGAATAGGTTAAAGGGTAACTTTAAACAGGTGGCTTTTATTTCTCTTTGCCCAAATTGTTCTATAATTTCTTGCCCTAAAACTTTCTGGTTAACTACAGCAAATTTCTTTTCAGCAAGAGCGGCTCCATGCTAATCCAGCTTTGCTGTTACCTTGGCTCAGACTGGCTGTTTCTCTCCCTCCAGGCTTCGCATTTCCTGGGAGCAAACACAAGGTGGGGAGTTTTGTCCTTCCCATACAGATTCCAGCTTATCCATCTGGGAGTCCTGAGTAATTTTGGATCCCATGGGTTTGCTTCATCTCAGTTGAGAAAGGGAATGGTGTGAACATTTTTACGAAGCCATTAGTGTTAGTTGTCTTGAATAGAGATGCAAGTTTGAAATCCCATCAGTCACCTTATTTCCCTCCCTGACCTGAAAATGTGCAAAATATGAGTTCTTTCCTCCAGTTTGGTTAATCTGTTTTGTTACCTGAAGAAAAATATCAACATAGGATGCTGCAATTGCTATTGAAGTCTGGTTTTTTTCACATATAGCCCTTCTGGGTTACTTTACAAGTCAGCGTGCTTTGGGAATCATACAGAGAAGGAATCTGCTCTATCTCACATGTGTTAAATGATATTTCCTAGTCCAACTATGGATGATCTGACAAAAGGAAACGTATTGCAAATGTGTCAAACATCTTTCTCAATACAGTTTTCCACATTGCATTTTGGAGGTAAGCAGGATAGTTTTGCAAATCATGTCTAGCAATGTGATGTCTTCAGCCTGATAGCAGAGCTGCAGAAAAAGAAGGGTTCCAGCAGAGATTCCTAGTACCACTGTGTTCGCATCATGATTTCTGATCATACTGGGGCCACTCCTTAACACTGCCCAGCCCTGGGACTCAATTATCGTTTACTGCTTGAAAATCTTGAATCCCCAAGGCTGCTATGACTTTGGCATAAAACTCTTTGACGTTTCCTGCTGGCACAGCTCTCTTACGCCCCTTAGACAGCACAAAGGGAACCTTGAGAGTCTGGTACATGGCTCTGTACGTCTTGCTTTTGTGATGGCACCCATGAAACTGATACGAGCAGCTAGGAAAGGAGGAGGGAGTTTATTTTTAGCTTGCACCAGGAAAACAGCTGCAGCATTTTCTCGGTGTAGAAGATGTCTCACAAGACACAGGGAGGCCTGTCTCATTGCCTCCAAACTTTCCCTCTGAGGAGTTTCAACCTTTCAAGGCTCCCCCTGCGCAAACCTCCAGCTCATGTGCACTGATGAATGTAATTCTAGAGCTTCGTGGAGGAAACCAGAACTATTTTTATTTTTGGTTGAGTAAACCTTTAGCATTTAACAGTCAGGTGTTTATTTCACTTCCCAAACTGCCTCCGGCTCCAATAATGCTTAGCATGATCCTTTTCTAAGGAGGGGAAAAGGGAAAGGGGATTGAGTTAAATGCTCTCAAAATGGAGAGATCTGAGGAATCACAAACTCGTACCCACTGCCACACATCCTACCTCAGCCCCCTCCTCCCTCTCTTTGGCCCTCCTTGGAAGGAACCTGACAGGAAATATCTTAGAGGTAGGGAATTTTCAATGAAAATATTATTTCTCCATCTGCCCACTTTTCCGCCCTCGCAGGTTGTATGGCTAAGTGACATTTAGGAATGTGTATCCTGCAGGCCGCGCGGTCGCCTGGCTCCTCACACATTGCTTTCCCAACAGAAGCACATCAGGGCACCATGCCCTGCTCTCTCCCAAATCTCACAGGACACAGTCGACCTTTTGGGGCACACCGTGGCCTTGCAGAGCCATTTCAAACCTTTGCAGCTCCTCTGGGGGAAGAGGTAGACCCCCTTCCAGTGAGCTTTCCTGTGGCCTTCCTGGGAGGCAGAAGGAGGGTGGGTCCTCCAGAGCTCCGGGATAAAAAAAGCCAACAACTGTGAAACCTACAGAAAGTTGGCTGATATTGCATGCACGCAGCTATTCAAACCAGATGCTTGCATGCCTTCCTGCCCACGCTACCTTACCCACACTGATCCGCTCCTCGCCCAACAGGAAGTTTCAGTTTTTTGTACCTTGAGCCATTTTCAACAAAAGCCAGAACAGGAGAAGGACGCACATGTGTTGCGATGACCTACAAGAGGCTGCGGTCACCAAAGCACAAGCTTGCCCCTTCTTCCAGAAGTTGCCATGTTGCTCTCTTTTTCCTTGGTCAGGCTCAATTTATTCCAGGCGGTTAGGAAGTGTTAAGGAAACATGGTTTGACGCATAGCGTGTGTCTGAGAGAGGGAAGAGGAAAATGACAGACGTTAATTTATGTTGGGAATAAACACCGGGGGAAAATGAGTAATATCGGGACAAATTTTAGTCTTCCAACCACCTCCTTCTCGAACTGGTTTTTAAAAAATTTCTCTTGCCTATGCCTAATTCTGTTTTGCTCTTCAGTGATGTCTCCCCACATCAACCTGTAGTGGAAATGCTGAGTCACGACCTGAACCAGTGATTGAGCACCTGGTGGGAAGGCAGGGCCAACCCAGGGGAGTTCAGCTGCATGCAATACACCTGAGTGACTGGAAAGGGCTGGAGCCAGGATCCATCCCATCCCAGACCTCACTTAAGAGTTGGAGGTGGAGATAAGGTTATTTTGCTGGAGATCCCTACCTTATTGAGGCCTTCCAAAGGTAAGCAGTTTTTCTTCCTTTGTTTCTGCGTCTGTAACTGCTACATTTAGGCTTGTTCTCCTTTGCTATAGCCTAGGATAGTGCTACTCTTCTATTATTGCTGTACTTTCCATCACATTATAGTGTTACACAACCCAATTCCATGTTCTGTCCCAATTTCCCTGTGTCTGATGTCCTCATTCCTAAATGTTGTTTGTAAAGCTGCATCTTCAATGTTATTTCTAACTCCTTCCAAGTCAAATCTTACCAGTGATTCTAAGTGAGGTGCAGTTATTTCAACTTGCTCTACTTGTGACAGCATAGGCTTCTTCAAGCAGTGGCCACTGACAAAGCTATCACTTTGGGAGAGCTTCATGCCCTGAACCCAACTGAATCAACTGAATCCATCTAACCTTAACAAGGAGGCAAGATCCAGAAAAAGGTGGGGTTTTTTTGGTTTTTTTTTTTTTTTTTTTTGGTTTTTTTTTTTTTGTTTGTTTGTTTTACTTCAGTGTGGTTATGGTAAAGACAAGAGTCGATGTCAAAACTTTAAAGAGCTTCCCTGCGGAGTCCAGATTTCTACTGAAGCTGGATGTATTAATCTATATATCAGCAAGTGGGTTGACTTTTGGTGTTCTGAACATAACTTGAAATTAGTGAAACCTGCTATAAACTATAAATCTGCAGTTCACAGTGCAGCAAGTCAAGCATGCCAATGGATTCCAATGAGGCAGAGAATTCAGGCTACCATTCTGAAGAAAGGCAAGAATTATTCAGTGCAGGCTTGCTAAACAGTAACCACTTTGCCAAAGTTTCTGTTTATTTTTTCTTTGACTTCTAATTTCATGTCTTAGCCATTTATTCTCATTTCTTCCTTATTCTCTCCAAGTCCCTTGGCAATATCTGTATTACTGTTTGAGCCTGGTCGTACTCACACTGTATTTGATAAAACAGGGGTGTGAGAACTACTAATAGAGGAGGCTGCAAACCATGAAAAAATTTTAACATGACCCTCTCCCTTCCCAGATCACCTATTATATGTATATGAGCCTAAAATCTACAGCCTTGTGTTATCATAGTTCCATGGAAACTCAGTTGTCAGATAAGCTAGTGAGATCAGAGTTAATATTTCCTACCCAGAGGTTATGTTTATGTGACAACTTTCCATTAGTAGTGAATCCAACACTTTTCATTCCTGTCCTGGCTGAGACATTGCTGCTATGTTGTGCGCTGGGCTTCTGAAGTGATTTTGGCTGGAAAGCACCAAGGGAAAGGTGGTTTGTTTTCATCCACCTCATGTGTTAATGCAGGCTGTGGTAGAGGGGTGGGACCCAAGGACAGGAGCTGACCCCACATCACCCACAGCTGAGTGATGGTGCTTTGCCATTGTGCTTGGCTCTTTTGCATCCAAACCCCACTAGTTGCTGTAATTAAAGACATAAGAAAAACACATGTTAGCAATTTTCTTATTGCAAACTTATCAGGTTTTTATTTGTTACTTCTTACTCCCTGTGAAATGCAATTACTCATTGGCATAAGTCTGAAGCTGGATGGATTTCTGGAGTAAGAAGAAAAAAGTCTCTTTTGTTGTGTTACACAAGATCATCAGAAAGGTGATCAACCACATAAGCACATACACACCCCCTCCCCTTCCCATACCTATGGGTTAGCTCACAACTGTGTGGGTACAGGCTTTGTGAGCTGAATAACCCATTTATCTCCACGTGGAAAATCAATAGATTGAAAATAATTAGCTGGATGTGAGAAGAGGCAAAGAATCAGACAACTGTTATTTAAAGCAAGGCTTAGGCATGTAGAAACAAGGTAAAATGAGAGGAGAGAAGGGAGGGCGGATGTGAAAAAGTGGTGAATCCAAAGGCACCGAAATGTGTTCTTATATAACCCGTCCTAAGCCACTCCACACAAGAAATACTTCCTTGTCAAGATTTTATTTGTTGTCAAGTAGGCAGATGCCAGGCTAAGCAGTGCAGATCAGAGAAGTAGCAGCAGGATGGGCAGAAAAATGGGCTGTTAGTGGTAGTTATCCACTGTAGCCGCAGCAATGGACAGACAAGTCAGGCAGAATATGGTTCTCTCCTCCTTCGTGTCAGATTGACTTGTTGACTACTGCTAAATATAAATAAATTCAGTGAATGAGAAGAACATGCCTCACCATTTGGTAGATGAAAACAACTCAAGAGAGAGAGAGCTCAGCAATGCACCAAACTGCTTGGGGATAATCCAGCTGAGCTCTGGAGTGCGTTACGTCTGTTTGTTTTTTAACACCTATGTCCTTGCCTAAACCAAGGGTTCTGCGTTCAGCTTTAGGTTCTAGAGCACCAGAAGTTCCTGAAGTTGTTTTGCATTTTGTTTATAAGGAAAATTTTAGGTGTCCATTATCACAAAAAGGACACAGAACCTGAATGAGAAGACTTCTAGATGATCCTAGACAAAAACAGTACAGGAGAAATTTCTTGTGGAGTTGGAGACTATTTACAAGGAGAGAATAAAGCAGAAGCACTATAGGCCATATCCAGGGTTACCATTCTGGGAAGGCTGTATGTTAACAGGAATGCATTTATTTTATGATTCATCAAATGCAAAATTGATATCTTTAGATGTGACAGATGTTGAGGGGGAGAAGCTGCAATGGCTAAGTTCAGATCCAAGTTCAAATTCAGGGATGTTGAGCTGTTGGTTTTCAACCATTGCAGCCACTCAGGTTGGGAAAGAAATTAACCTAAACCAGCCTAAACAGTTCTGTGGGCTAATGCTTTTTCTGGGGTGTTTGGGCTCTTTCAGATAGATAGCAGAGAGGAAAGACATATTCATCTTGTCCATTTTCTGTACAACATTTCCCAGAATTTTTCAATTTATTAGGTAGGATGGCAATACTTTCTGCCTTTCTTTTTATATTCAGAGCTAATATGTTTGCCCTTCTCACTTAGTCAGAAGTTCATATGCCTTTTGTTAAGAGAACAGAAAAACGTTAAACGCTTTACACTGAAAAGGCTGCTTTTAATGGCTCCTATGGATCTATTTGATTGTAACTACAGAGAACATGACAAAAAAATTGAGTTACAATAGGAAATAAAAGAACTTATCAGGGAAGAAGAGGAGAAAGAGGCTTGCTGAATTACATGGGCAGAGGTTATGCCAGTTCTCAGCTTGGGTTCTGTGCTGCAGGAGATTGGTGAAAACACACAAAGAATTCTAGCAGGCTCCAGAGAGCAGATAAACCTGACAGAACTATGAGAAACTCATCAAACATCTTTTTAAAAAAAAAAAAAAAAAAAAGCCTCAGAAAAGAAGGGGTTGCAGTGATGACTGGGATGAGTCAGGCGTGTACAGGAATGTCAGCAAAGGTGGTATCAGATTAAGGAGGAACCCCAGCCAACTCCACTTGGGCAGATAGCTGTCTCTCAGCCCTCCTCCCACCTGATGAGATCCTGTTCTGGGGGCCAGGGCAGGTATAGGGCTGGGAAGCTCCAGTGTTTCTGCTTGGAGCAATAGCTGCTCTCAGGATTATCCTTCTACTGCATTGCTACTGCAGTGTCACTTATAAGCCACTTAGCAAGAAGAAAGCAAAACTACGTTATATGGAGGGGGGAAAGGGTAGGTTGGGAGCAAACCTCCAGGCTTCTGTTTCTGAAAAACAGTAAACTCCCCCAGTACAGGTCTGTCTAGGTGACAAAGCCCATGATGCGCTGTTCCTTGTGAGTGCAAGTCTGAACAGCTTTGCCAGGCTGGGGGAGCATCAGCTGCACTGCTCTCCCCAGCAATTTCTCAGTGTCAAGCTGTTAGCAAATGCACCCTGCTCCTATGCTCCTGCCCCTGGGCAGCAGCATGGCTGCATGTAGAGTCTTGTGGTAGAGGGAAGAGGGAGACGGCAGAGCTCCCAGACCGCCAAGCAGGTTTTTGCGGTTTTGTTTAAGATGCTGAATCAGAGTTTCACCTGGAGGGAAGGCAGGAGGGGATGGATCATGGTTGGCAGGTGTCTGAAGGAATACTCCAGTGCATATATCTCGGAGGCTGGCAGACTGCACCGCTTGGCTGGAGCGGCTGTTTCTGCTGTTCCAAAGGCAGTTAACGTCATTGTCAGACAGGAACGTGCTGGTTCTTGTCGGGTGGCCCTACCGACAAGAGAAAACTCCTTTGAACAAATGTACAGCAATTTGAAGGGATAATGAAATTCAGCATCCACCCAGGCTGCTAAATGCACCAAGTTACAAAAGGTTCGGAGCTCAGTTTTGTCCTGCCGGATCGTCCTTTTTGCCCCCGAGAGCAGCAGCTTTGCACTGACTGCACTTATCCTGCACTGCAGGCAATTGCTCTGGGGAGTGATCTGTTGTTCTGTATAACCACAAGGGGCACAAAGGTGAGCAGCAAGCATTGATCTTTGGACATGAGGTGAAGGGGTATGACAGGAGCCTGCTACCAGCTCAGAAGCTGCTGTGCCATAACCACAGAAAACACTGAACACCCAGCATGGGGATGGGCAAGCTTTTCATCAGAAGTACGTTAATATTGTCCCAACTGCTGTAAGCACCAGTGAACTTCTCAGCATTTGGCAGTGCTTAGATTATTGACTCCAGTGAGCTGTTCTCTAATTTTCTGTTCTGCCCTGGATTGCTCTCATCTGCCTGGTCTTGTTACGCTGACACAGATGTGTACTGAGCTGTGCTGCTGTGCTGGGTCACTAGATGGTGTACAGCTGTGCTGATGCACAGGAATTCCAACCAAGGAGAAGGCTGGGAAGAGGAAGTGGAAATAAGATGTTTCAGCTCAAGCAGAAAAAGGTTATAGCATTAACATTGCCTTCAGGTCAAGATTAGGTGCACGACTAGAGTTGGTTGGAAGAAGCTTTCATAGCCCCCAGTGACCGTATTATGCCAAGTTTAAAACAGTCTTTTTGTGCCCTCGCTTCCATGTGTATTAAAATTCACCAGGAAGATAAATACTTACTTCATTGCCATCTGTTTTTATTCTGCTAGATAATGTAATCAAGACTATTCTGTACACGAGATGTATTGCTTAACTAAATATCATCCAAAACAACCTACGGATTTTTGAAAGTCACCAGTATTTGTTGGCATTCAAGACCGAAGCAGCTGGATCAAGACAAGGCAGGCTATAAACTAGGCATTTCTCTGCCCCTTTGCTGTTGCTTGAAAACTTCCATCAAAGATTTATCTAAAAGAGGAAAAAAAAAAAAAATTGCTGAAGCAGAAATCTATTTTCTGGATTTTCTTTGAGAAACTCTGAGGTTTAATTTAAGGATGATTTATTTTCTGTGTTTGATTTCAGGTAACTAAAACAGAATAAGAAAAAAACATGCTTCCATGTGGGAGAAGGCACCATTTTTTTCATGTAATCTCCCTACAAAAAAAAAAAAAAAAAGCATAAAAGTATGGCAACATGGCTCCAAATAGCTTTTGCATTGGCTGAAATTTTCATTCGAAACAAACAAGCCCATAAATGAACACACTATCAATCAAATTCTGTGACTTGCCCAAAGCCACAAGGACAAAACAACAAAGAACAGCACCATGTACTTAAATCTGAGCACCACACTCTGCTCCGGCCACTGGGCCTTGGAGTTTGCAATTAGCAACAAGATCCACCAGAGATAAGTGGGCCCAGCTCAGCCTCTGACTCTGCTAAGTTTGCCTGAAAGTGGTTATGTGGGTGGTGCAGAATTTGTCAAACATGATGTTCACAAAGATCTCCCTAAGCGCAGCTGAGAAAAAAACGAAGACAGCCCTACCATAAAGTGACACATAATTCAGCTGAAGTGAAACATACTGATGCAACAGCGGAGAATAACTCATTCCCCTTAGGCGAAACTCATCCAAAAAGCTAATAATGAAAACTGAAGGACTCCAAACCATTATTTCTACTTTCCAGGCCAGCAGCAGGGATAGCTTATGTGGTTAGCAGCTGACTCCTGAGTCGTGTTCTCGTTTCCACTGCTAGCTCACTGTATGATCTTGCAGCATCGCTGCTCAGGCCCTCAGTTTATTTATTGGTGTGATGTGGATATAGCTTGATTGCAGAATCTTTAATTGATATGTGCAAAATATTCTGAATGAATATGGATGGAGCTTAATGTTGAGGCAGGCGTGTCCTTTCAGGGTTGTTGTTTTTTTTTTTGCCTGATATTTAGCAGAGAGTTAGAGAGGGAGAAGTCCAATGTATGCTCGTCTTGTCTGGGTGGAAAGGAGAGAAAGAAAAGTGATTGGTGTTGCTTTTCATATTCTAGATAATGTGAGGTATTGGGACCACAAGCTGGCTGGTCTGTGCTGGCAGCAGCTCCTGGAGGATGGCTTTCAGCAATGCAAAGGATCATACCAGCACAGGTCAAGGAACCATGTAGGCCTGGATTGAAGGCTGCTTGAACTTGCACTCCTGCCAAAAATTAATTCTTAAGCTACCAGTGTAACAACATTATGTTTTCTGGCCAGACTCTACATCTGTAAGACACTGGGAAACCAGAGCAGTTTACACCCAGTCCCTGGATCACATGGGAGCTGCCCTTCAAGGTACTCCTTGAGGACTTCATCTTGGCATCCATTCTCAGCTGGTGGCTTCTAAACTTCCTAAGCTTACAGCTCCCCCAGTTTAGTATAGGAGTGTTGAATGGAACCTGTGCTTCTGTATCTGTTATCCAGACAGATTCATAAAATCGTTAGTTATCACCAGCGTTTCGAGCTTCTGCAAGGAAGATGAGAGAACATATCTAGATCACCAGCAGTTACGGGGGACACAGAGCCCAGATTTGCTAGTGTCAGTGATAAGGACTTGGAAAGAGGTTAATCCCTTAGCAATGGCCCATTTTAACCCTTGCCTTGGTCTGTAGTTTAGAACTGGAGTACAAACACAATGCTTTCTTGAAAAGTCTTTCAATTAATTTGAAGTGACCAGACCAGTTACTATTGGCTTGTAGGAACACTGTGGACAATATTTACAGTGATTAGCCTGACAAGCTAAGTAATCGCTTTGCAGTTAAAATGCTAAAAGTGATGGAGCTAGATTTTCAAAAGAAGCATTTCATCAGAGCTTCCTAAATAAAATAATTGTAGGAAGTATCTAGAAAGTGGAGCTGGTGGCTGGAGTTGTTTCCTTCTGTGCTGGTGCACGGCCACTCTTTGCTGTGACTTACAGATGTTATTGCAGCTGCTACAGCAGCAGACATATATAATCACTGCATAGGAAACAAACTTTAGTTCAAGTTTTGGGACAAACACTATTTTTGTGTATTCTTGAATGCTACAGAATCACTAAGTAGCCAAATTAAACACAGATACTCTGCACACAGAAATGTGGGCTAAATTATACTTGTTTTTAGGGTTATATTGGCAGGTTTTGGATTGGAGAGCACCTTAGGCTACAGAGATGTGCTCTGCCAAACTGTTTCAGATGCCCTGTCCACTTGCTGGGCACTGAAAAGACACTGTTGTAGACTTAGCCAGAACCTGCTTTATCAAGGCAAAGAGAGGTGGGGGAGAAGATAGCACTGTCCAAATTTGGGTCCAGAGGGATCTGGCACACCTGTTCTCCTGTTAGGGATGTGAGTGCATTTAATATAGAAACTTTCATGGGTGGTAAGTAAATGGGATGAGAACTCAGAATGACTTCATCCTTTTTTCCCATTGTTACCAGGTATTCTGTAATAGCACTGGCAGGCTGTAATCAAGACTGGGACCTGCTGTGCTAGCACTTGTATGGACAAGCACATAGGCACATAGGCACTGTTGTTGCCCCAAAAGTAGGGATCTTGAAAGGAAGATGATTTTGGCTGTAAGGATGGTATGACAGGCAAAGAGCAGCAGAATAGGGGATGGAAAGGACTTATTCAGTGTCAGGAGAAGTTTGAAAAACTTCTGCTTCCTGTTCTGGCAGTTCAGATACTTGTGGGCTATGCCACAGAAACACTGCCACAGAGTGGAATCGCTCTAGAATGAGAAGCAGAAGCTGCTGTGTTCCCTCACAGCTGATAGAGCTCCTAGAGATCAGCCACAACTCCTCACCGTTCAAACACCTACAGCTCTTTAGGGCTGAGTTTTACTTACCATCTCCCTGTTTCCCACCATGCCACTTGTGGAGAAATCAGACATTTGGAAAAGTGTAATCTAAGTAGCAACTGTTGCTCCATATCCTGGAAGTGATTTTTGATGTATCTGCATATTTTTTCAGTTTCCCTCTCTGTCTCAATCGTGATATCTGTGAGCGTTTGCAAATCAGTTGAAAGCATTATCCCATATCAGATATGAACAACAGTTTTCCTTCTCACCCATCCCCATCCATGCTTCCACTTCCTCAGGCAGATTTCTCAGGAGGAACCTGGGTGAATAGCCAGCCTTGCTGGATGCTTTGAAGGGCAATATAGTTTAATTGTGCCAAAGCATTAGGGAAAGCAAGTAGTTACTTAAGCTGAAAGTCCTGATTAGGAGATGCCTTCATCCACAAAGATATATGTTGATCCCACCTGCACACACAAAGAGTTCAGAGCAGTTAGATGCAAGATTGCAGCTGATCTCAACATCTGCAGAGATGAAAGGAGCTGCAGCATCCAAACCATGCTAGGCTTTATTCAGAGAGATCCAAACTGGGAATTTGGATTCCATTGCAACTAGAAACAAACTGGTAACCAGTTCAGCCTGCCAAGCAATGCAGCAATTAGTGAAAGTTCCCATAACCTCTCTGCTAGGTTCTGCCAGCAGCACAGTTTGCTCTGTGTTTAGTTTGCTGGGGTTTCCTTCTGGAAACTAAAATAACACCAGCTTGATGCAGTTTCCCTCCAGAGATTCAGTGAAAGTAAATTACATCCCTCTAACAGGTAATACTTTCTGAATTGCGAGCACCAGCTCCGGGTGTTTCAACTAGAAAAAACTTTAGGTGTCAGAGAGCGGAGGGAGACGCAAGCAACCCTGGAAAGCCATCCTTTAATGCATCGCTATGCTCTGTTGTGTGGGACATTCCCTTTCTCTTTACCTTGGCAAGAAATGGAAGCTCTGACTGGGTGTCTCACAGTGGATAAGAAGGGGTATCTCTGCATGATCCCACCAGATCCTGGCAGAGATCCTTCTCTGTGATCCGAGAGCTCTCCTCTGCCTGAAGCTCCCCAGCTCGACTGGAGGTCACTCTTCTCTGCCATCCCCGCCACCAGGCTTCTGCAGCTCATTTGTTTGGAGCAGCTGGGATGCTCAGTTTCGCATTGATTACCTTCCCAAATAACCTACAGAATCATTTCACTTGTACACTGAAGTTAACCTCCACGTTTAACATGTTTTCTGTCCTTTCACTGCTCAGTGCCCTGTTTGAATGACCGTACTGAAATACATCTCTACACTTTTCAAGCACTGACATCCCTTGACATTCCATATAACATGTGATTCTCATCTATGTACCTAACAGACCATAGCCCTCTGTGTTCTCTCATCCTGCAGTTCTTGACTTGCTTCATTCTGAAGTCAGAAGCTGATTCTGGTTCCCATATCAGAAACACACAGAGCTAAAATAGCAAGTACCTCCCTGCAGCTGACTATGGAGGTTCCTCTGACTGCAAACTTCCTAACAAAAAATGTCTGTTGTGCTGGGCAGGACATCAGGAAAGGAAAAAATCCCTCCTCCTCCTCTTCTCATCCCACTCACTCCTATGAAGGGATTTGCTCTGTGGTGTTTTTTTTTTTTTAATGTCCTGAAGGAGTTAGAAATATTTTTTTATTATTATCATTTTGGACTGAAAATTTCTCTTAATTCCTCTCTATTTGTTTCAACAGATTTCCTCCTGTTTACATAAATTAAGGATCAGGTCCCCGGTTTCCAGTCCAGCCAAGGAGGACTCAAGCACAATGAGAGAGATTGTCCTCTCAGGATTTCCAGCTGAGTAGAGTCCAAAGAGCCAGAAATGCTGTGGGAAGGACTGTTTTCAGGGAAATTCCACCCCACATTTTCCATACATAGCATGTAAGTAATGTCACCCCGGATAGCCAACCTTCTGAAGTCCTCCTGCTTCCCTCAGCCATTTTGGAAATGCATGTGTGTATATAATCGTTTATTTTTTTTTAAAGTGCCTCGCTTAAAATGAAGCTGTGACACCATCATTTGATTTCTCATTCCCTCTGAAAGTGTAGAAGGACAGCATTTACTTTGGGGGTGCTGTCCTAAGCTGGTGAAAAAGTGCTGCTGAGCCCTGCTGTAGTTGTGCCATGGGGGGTAGGTAGGGCCAAGTGAGATATCAGGGGCTGACGGGGCACCCTGTGAAGCCAAAGCTCTGACACAGTAACTGATGCAGAGGAGCAGGAAGCTGGAGGCTTCACTTCTGGGTATGTTCTCGCTGCAAGCTCTGAGCAATCAGTGGTAATTCTGATCAGATGAATCCTTCCTCTCCTATCAGGAAGAAAGGCAACGTATGCCGGTGCTTTAATTTCATTTCAATTTGCTTTAGCAGAGATTTATAATTATTATAAGGAACAATTTTATAATGTAATTCTGTGTTGTCAGAGTAGGTTAGCTTTATGACCTGCTTTAAAGAATAAATGCGGCTTTAATTAAAACAAAACCAAGGAGAGAAGTACGGTCTTGTACCAACATGTTGCTGTCAGCACCCTGCTAACTGTCTGCACTGAACTGTAAGCCTCTGCTCACAGATACCAGTGCCAAAAACAGAGCTCGTGGCACACTTAAAGGTACCAGTGGCTTATTTTTAATTTGTATCTCAACTTTGTGTTGCTGGAGGTTTTCTAATAACAATTATGATGACTGTCAGAAATCAGACAGCAATGAATAGCAGCCCTTAGTAGGCTGTCAGGTTGTACAGAAGCGTAGCTGTGTGCATTAATAAACTCGCTCCCTTTTTGCTTAACAGCAGTGCATTTCCATTACCTGAAATGGAGTCACTTTTGGTTTAGCCTGGTACGAGATCAGAATCAGACTCATTAAATTTAGCCTTCAAGCTGCCGTCTTTCATGAGGTAAGATGATTTTGCTTCTACATAATGGATGTCACAGAGCTCATCTTCAGTACATGCTCACACAACTCGTAATTTTCTGTATTTGCATTACCTGACATGTGAGACAATATTAATGCTATATCACACTGAAGTCTCTTTGACATCAGCAAACAGAACCACCATGCAAACCAGAGGCTTTCTAGTATGCATGCACCATGCATAGCCCCATTTTTGCCTTCCTGTCTCCTTCACAAGGTCAGTGATATTAAGCTGACATCTTAAACCATTTCAGTATCACTTTGTCAGAATTCTTCATGTCTTAGTGTCCATCATACATCCGTATCTGAGGAGCTGTTGCACAGCTGGCACTGCGTAGCTTGGTTAGGTCCAAACACAATATTCTGGGGAGTAAAATCTGACTCCCTGGAAGTGAATGGAGATTTTGGTTTCAATGCTGTCATTTTCAATATTAATAATCCTATTATTTTCCTTCTCATTAACTTGGGAGTGAGAGAGCTATCTAGTCCTCTAACTACGTTTTGAGATAGGCACTCATTTTTGATGAATTTTACTCTGACTTGTTAAAATGCTTCAGAAAGTTCATTCTTTCCTATTAGGCAGTGAATGAAAATGAACGATAGAATTCATTCTGGGTTCCTAGTAAATGACATATGCTCAGCAGGCAGCATTTTCTAGGTGAAGAGCAAGATGCAGAAACAAAACAGTGAGGGGCAGATTGCATCCTTTCTCTCCAACCCTTCTCTGTAATATGTTCACCTGAACGCTGAGATCCATATAGGAGTCCATGATCATTGAGTTTCCCAGTGGGGGAACACAAGAAAGGAGACTGCAGTAGTTGTCAATATTGAAGAATCAAAGCCATGTATGGTAATGGAAAGCCAAACATTTGAGGGATAATTTATAGAAAATGAATTCTCTTCTCTGATATATAATTTTCTCAAATTCTTCTATAGAATAGGTAGTGAAATTGGTAAAAAAATAAATAAATAAAGAGCTAACAGTTTAGGATTTAATTTCCAAGTAGCTATCTTAGGAATAAAACTGTACTTTTCAGAAAAGATTTATTTTCATATAAGCTTGTCCAGTCTGGCATTAAGACAAGCAGCATATTATAATACCTCCTTTAAAATCAATAGACTAAAACTGAACTTTTTTCTGCTAAAATTGATGCCAATAGAATTTTCTTGGTCTTGGTGTGAGGTGGCCAGCACTAACTTCTGTGCCAGATCAGAACTTGATATGAAGAGACTCATGTCCTAAATGCTCTGCTCCATTAGAGAGATGATAGATCACTTCTAAATATCTTAATATAATTCTTGTCTGGGCAAGACATCCCCTGGCAGAATATCCTAAGAATCTTTTCAGAAAATACATAGTAGTTAATAAAATCTATTTCTTCCTGCTATTATTGCATACCTGGTCACAGGGCCAGATTTAGAATAGTTTTCCTTTTTCTGAAGGCCAAATTTTGGAGAGAGCTCAGTGTAAAGTGTCTAACTCTCACGTTCCTCATGGCTTTGGACACCCCTTGGACAGGAGCCATCTGTCTGTCCTGTGTTATCCTGTTGAGCACTGATTCACAACTGTATTTCAGGCACTATCATGCAGTAAATAGTAATGATCATTAGCAAACGTACATATCACCCGAGGCACTGAAACTAGTCAGGAGAGATACAAAAGTTAGTTCAAATAAATTCTGAGACATCTCTCAGCTACTTTTTTGAATGCTGCATGACTACAATAGCTTGTGATGATGAAATCAGCACCCATTTGGGATGGGTTTGCACTCCAGTTAGGGAGAAGTCTTTCTGTATGTGCTTTCACAGAGCATGTGCTGTATCTGACCCAGAAATATGCCCAGTCTTCCTCTCTCTCTTGTTAGTTTATTAAAGCATCAAAATTAGAATCATTTTAAAAAATGACATTCAGTGACAGGAACTCATTGTCTAGAATTAAGCTTGGCTCTGGAAGACGTGTCAAATGTCTAAGCCAAAAGATACTAACCTTGATCTTGTACATGCTTGGTGATGTCAGCATGGGCCAGAGGGAGTGTATGGTATGGACGTGTCATGGATGAAAAGAAGTGTCCTGTAGCTGATAAAAATATGTTTTCCCTTCATGCTCTTGTATAGTTTAATGTAAGTGTACCTAAGACCTTAATGTAGATATGGATGGACATTAATATAGCTGCATAATGCTTAGGTGGATAGCTGTTTTCTTGCTTGGCTCCTCTAGCAAAGTACCTCAGTGGCATTTCAGTGAGTTGTCTTGGTCTCTTCTGCTTCCCTGCAAACTGTCCTCAGATGGTCAATGTTGGAGCTTCCCGTGATGCTTTTCCTTTTGGGTCTCAGAGTTGTCCTACTGGTACTGAGATCTGAGAGTAAAGAACAAAATAAGCTTGGTTATGTTGTAGTCCTTATTGAAAAACCTGACATGTATACATGAAAAAAAAACATCTTTAGACCCTGTACTAGCAGTAGTGCAAAGAAACCTTTTGAAGCTGTCTCCATGTTGATTTAAGCTGGGTTTGATTTTCTGTAAACATACTCAAAAGCAGTGGTACTATTTCTAAGGTTGTGGAGATCTTCCTCTCATTGCCATAGCTTGGTAATGAACAGGACTGGGAATGGCATTGGGAGACAGAGGATTATAAAGCCTCTTGGTGTCTTGTAAATATTCCTTCTTTTTTTTTTTTTTAAAATTTTATTTATTTTTTTTAAAGATAAAGCAGTTGAAATGCCTACATTTCCAAATTCCAGTCAGGTGAAGTCCTCCCACTTAAACAAAATCACTGTAACAATCTCTTTGCATTTGCAAAGATATGAGGAAGAAAAGGAAGTATTTATATTTTCCGTATTTAAATTTAAGTGAGAACAATGTCTTCTGATTATTTCATTGGATAAATTTAACATGAAGCATTGAAGAAATTCCTCCACAGAGCTCAGTGCCTCTGCATATAATGGAGAGGCAAAGGCAAGCAGCAGCCAACACGAGAAGACTTTGTACTGCGTGAAAGACTTTTCTTATATTAGCAAAGCAGACTACTAATATGAGATGATGGCACATTACTAATGCAGCAGAGTGTAGCTAATGCAAACAAAATACATTGGAATGCCTAGTTGGACTGAATGGAGAATTTGTTTGTCTCGAACCCAGATTCTGAAAATCAAAATAAACCCCCAGAAATAAGGATAATTCAGTAAATTCAGCTTGAGTCCATCAGATGCACCAAGGAATGTGTGGGCACCACAGGTACAGACAGGCCCAGGGATGGAATTCCCATGCTGACTTCCGAAGGGAATTGGGTGCTCACCTGTCCTTGGCACTTTGGATAATCTCTTTTTGCATAAATAAGAAATGACAATCATTTGCATTGACAAAATTACTAAGTCTATGTGATTAGCGATTAAGGCCATAAAACTGCTTTTCAAGCCTTTGAGAGCATTGCTGTCATTGAATTCAGGGCTGCATGTTCACAGCAAGTTCACCCCCTGCAAACAGCTGGCTGTAATGTTCTCTTTCAAGTGCAGCGGTGATTTTTTTTGCCTCCTTCCCCCCTCCTCCTTCTCTCAGCCCTTAATGACGATATTGTCTGCTGTAAATGGATAGGTTTGTGCAAATTAGAGAATCCTATCCCTATTTTCAGCTGAGAGTAATATCTCTCACAGCAAAGGGTCTGTGTAGACTTTGATGCATTTCACTCGAAAGACCATCTAATAAATTGAATACTTGTGTACTCTCCTGCAACCTCGAGGGCTGTGAGCTTCAGTGGGAGCTGCTTTGCAGCCAGTAGCAACTAGTCGCAATTTGTTATTAAAACTGCAGCTCCCCACTGCTTGCTGCTGCTGACTACCGTGAGGTTGGAGTCTGCTCAAGAAATGCAGAGAAAGCAGAAACTGAGAATATTCCCAAGCTCACCTTTTAATGAAGGCATATGGCATTCAGGATATTGTTATTCATGTAGTAATTGGCAGCGGCCTACACGTATTTATGGTAGCGCTCATCATGCTTGGAAAATTTTGGAATTGCTCCATTTTTATGGGCCATAAAAGCAAAGTTAAAGTATATAGCGAATACAAAGAAGCATGAATAAGTCCTTATAATTATACCCCGATATTTATGTATGCACACACAGCCATCAGGCAAGGAGACATTTTTTTCGTAGCTATTACTGAACTAAAGAGCAAACTACATCTACGTTGTGCTAAGTCCAAATTAATAATTGTGATTTTTAACTGTCAAGGGAAAAATCGTACGTATGGTCCTGAGACTTTTCCTGGGTATTCTTGGCTGTATGTGAACTGGAAAGAAATATGATGAACCAGAGTATTCCCAATCAGCTGCTAAGCTTGATTCAAACATTTGAATTTAAGCTGGGACTGCACAAAAAGAACCAGCTCAGGGAGGGAGGAGGGACAGCTTTTTATAGCCATTTTTCTATAAAGAACTTAAAAAGTCCTTTTTTTTCCCTTTTTCTCCTCTTTTATTGGATGGAGAGCCTGCAGTTTTGTCTGTCTAGTGATTCTTCCAGAGAGATGTAGGTGTGTGGTTTATGTTCTTACTGAGTAAAATTTCTGTTTTAATCTGTAATTGTAGAATTAAACTTCTGCTCCTGTAGCTATAGAGTTACCCATATTGATATTCTAATTCTGTGTTTTATATTAATGAAACCTCTTTTTTTTTTTTTTTTTTTTTTTTTTTTCAGTAGGCTGATTTAAGCTGGAAATAAGAGCATTTATGCCAGAGTAAGGATTCCACATGGAAAGATAAGAAACAATTGTGGTTTAAGGCCACAGATTTCAATTTCTGCTACTGAGAGGCTTCTCTTTTGAAAGGACGGTGCTGAGAGGAGGATATACAAATAAATGTTATGTGCCAATACTGGAGCCTGTGTCTGTGAGGACTGACAAGATAGATAATTTAGAATTGAAATAAGAAAGTTCATTTCTTTGTGATCCAAATTCACCAAAACTCACCTAATTTTTTATGCAGACATTTTGGATGGTTCTCAGTTGGGTTGCTCAGGAGGGTTGCTCAGCTGGGCTCACAGCAGTTCCCACATTCTGTATATAGGAGCTAAAGACCTAAATACTAGTTCTGATAATGATCTGCAGATGCTGACCTTGTAATTCTCATTTTCAGTGTTTAAAAATGAGTATCTGAAACTCATCTCCCTCTTTCCCCCAACCAGAAATTGTAGTATTCCTGTTCTGTCTTAATATTTGAAATATAATGCTTGCAAAGACCACCCCAGTGAGGCAGGATTTTGTACTTCTCTATTAGAACCTTTCTCTTTCTACTTTGACAGCTGGTGTTGCAGGTAGGATTCTTTGGCTCACAGCATCTGGGCTGAGAAATGTTTTCTCTCCTTGGAGTCTCAGGCACTTCAGAATAATCCTTCAGAAACCATTTATCTGACTGAACGCTGAAATGTTTGGTAAAATTTACAGCAAACCACCCTCTTTCTCTACCCACACAGTTGCCCCAGCCTCACAGCAGAGCAGTTGTTAGCAAATTGGTTAATTGCCAGCACTTTGCTGATGTTTGCTATTCTGAGCCAGGGCTAGTCAACTCCATTCCTACTGATATGGAAATGACCTTAAACCCTTGTTCAGAATTAAAATGGGATTTGTTCTGAAGTTTACGAATTTCTCAGGCAATTATTTTTTTTTTCTGGTAACTGACTCTCAGCATTTGTACTGCTGCTTTCTGCTGGCAGGAGGAGGAAAAGGAGAGTTGTATTGGTAAGGTACTGGCAGGCAGAGCAGATGTGCTTCAGCCCCTGGCTCCGTCAGAAATCCCAGCTGTGGAACAAGGCAAAGTCTGTCATCTCCCCATGAGAATGGAGAGATGGTACTTCACTTCTTGATTTTTAAGATGCATTCATTTAGATTGGAAGGTCTTTGTGAGGAAGATTGCTTCTGTAGGATTGGATAGAACCTAATAGCATCAAGAAAGTTTAGGATGGCACGATAATATTCAGAAAGGCAGGTAATGGATGTGACAGAGAGAGATCAAACAAAAGGGTGCTCTTGCAACACTTCTGTCCCTAGAATGAAACCAGAAACTTCAAAAATCTTGTGAAACCACTTGTTCTCCAGAGCTTACTACTTGAAGTTTTTGGACCAGTCCTATTTCAATTGTTTGGATAAAGCTGGAGGAATATCAAAACTTTTGGGTGCTGACTGGAGACCTCCAAACTGTCTGAGGTTTCTCTACCATTGACATAACCACGGTCTGTGGCTTTCAGCAATAATGTTTGTGCTGATTTTAGCAATTCAAATCCAGATGCAGCAACTGTGCCTGGCAAGACAGATGAGCCGCAGACCGCTTCTATCTATCTGAATGCGGAATCTCTTTTGGTAACCAGTTTTCTGCCAGCACACACAACCAAATTCTCATACAGCTTCCCTGGTTTGCTGGAGCACAGTCAGTACCATGAATATCTGTGTGGATATAAACAAGCTGGAAGCTTTTCTTTCAAGTACGTTACTTGCATATCTGGCTGATATGAACGATTGCAACATGCAGCTGAGTGAGCTTTTGCAGGTTTTATGGCATTCATTTTCTACAAGGAAGGAATGTCTCACATGAAAATGGAAAGTGCAGCAGGGAAAAGGATCATCTTCCGAAACTGTATGTAGGAAAACATTTCATAAAATGATGGCAAACGTGATGTTTTAGAGGAGTGCAAGTATCTAGGCTCACCTTGGGGAGCCTTGGACTACTCCAAGGTGAGGTGCTCTCTGCATCTGCAAGGACTGTGTGCTGACCAATGTTAGCTTCTACTGCCCACCAAAGGCCTCATCCTGCTGTGGTCCAAGGGTCAGCAATTGGCAGCAGGGCTGTTTGGAAGAGCAGAAGGCAAATCTCATCAATGTATCAGTGACTGCTTACAGTCTTGGGGTGTGACAGGATATCGAGGGCTGCCAGGGAAAGTATAATAATAATAGACTTAACTGAAGCTTAGATTCAACTTTATGAACAGGAGAGAGGCAATTCACGTTGCTTACCCAGAAGCAGTGTTCACACTGGGGACTTGAAGGGAAATATTCAATTAGAAGTATCACTTCACAAGGGAAAATTCTACCTGGAGTGAGAAATGAAATGTGAAAATTCAGTGGGAGCTGAATTTTCTTTGGGGATGCTCAATGGAGAGTTTGTTTTAGTAGCCAAGCTCCTAATGGAAAGATAACTTCATCCTTAAATCTCAAGTGATTTCTGCCAATTCATAACAATTTACACCTACAGGGCATCGGCAAATTAAGTCCAACTACATCACTGTCATGCAGCAAAGTATTGAGTACACTGAAGCATGGAAAGACTGGCTTACAGAATGACATATGTTAAGGAAAAGAAATAAAATTCAAGAGTCCCAACTCCCAGTTGCCTGCTGTAATCACTGTGTCTTGTTTTTTAATCCTCTTCCACTGCTGGAAATAAATGAATTATTTAGGTACTGCCTGACCATTTTTCTCTCTCCTTTTTAGCATCTTATGCCTCGGCTTTAATTCATTCTCAGTATTTTTTTTCCATTTTAGTTTCTAGCAATAACATTATTAAATTTCATGTCTGCTTCCGTTTTTATTTCCATCTTTCACCAAAAAGATATAAAGTGAAATGAATCCAAATGAGAGAGCTTTTCTCTTCAAACCGCTCTCAGTATCATCGTTTCCTTAATTAAGTAATTGAAGCTCTCCCAACGCACACAACGTCATTCAATCTACTGCGGTCTCTTGTATTTGCTGGCACTTAAGATTTGTTCCTATAGGGGACTATTTTTCTAGTCCATCAGTCTCTTCTACATCTTTCTTGTAATAACCTCTAAGGCCTGGTCCTCCTGGAACCCCATGGCATACATGCAACACAGCTTTAAAACAAGGAAACAACATAAATACAAGAAATACTTCAGTATTTTTCATGAGGCTGTCTGCCCTAAGACTCATGTGGGACCAAACTTGATAGATCTGACTTCCTTCCTTGCATTTCTGGCTGAGAAGTCATATTGCTTGCCTTATTTTCATGTTTGTGCCCTCAGTTTGTTTCTTTGAAGTGAGGGATTTTACATTATTAATCACCAGTTTCCTGCCCTGACATCTGAGACTGTTCAAACCTCTCCTGTCACCTCCTTGCTGAGTACTCACTGTCCTCACTGGATTCTGGAATGGCGTATTTCTGTGCTAAGAATCCTGGCCAGAAGATTTTCCAGAGCAGAAATACATTTTCAGAGGGTAACCAACATGTAGCCAATGCAAAAATTTGGCAAATTGAACTCCTCACAACAAAATCTAATCGTAGGCCCCATCACATTAGATAGGTCCTCAACACATCCAATATGATGTAGCAGTGGCTGTAGCTGTCTGGAGGTTCAGAACATTTCTTCTGTTGAAAGTTTCTCAATGGAAGATTGTTTCACTATATGTTTTATGAAAAGTGTTCTTTCATTCTAGACTGGGGCCAGAGAGGATTGAAGAGCAGGTGATGCTCTACGCTCCTTCTCCTCCTTTGGGGACAGGAAAACAATTCCCCCTCTCCTTCCACTCATATCCTTGTGATGCTAAATCTGGTGAGGGATGAAGGAGTTAATTTCAGCAACAGACATTTTCCCTGTGAATTTAGAAAGATTAAAAAGAGGAGATCCTATTGCAACTGTGTTTCAGGTTTGGCCAGAGGTGTAAAGAAGCCCAGGAGTGGGCAGTGAATGGGACCATACTGTGGACATGACAACAGTGGAGCTAAGCAATGGCTTTGGCCACACGCAGAATTAGAGGTAATTGCACAGGTGCAAGAAAAGGAAATAAAAGGAATGAACTGAAATTTGAGCTTTGAAAAGAAATAGCTAATAAGAGTTTTATTTATACTGGAGAACTGCAGAAGCCCTAAACAGTTTCCCAGGCTTAAAATCTCACACCCAATGGAACAGAGAATTTTTCAGACTCCTTAATCTCAGGTCCTTAAGAAAATTTGGAGGCCTGACATCCACACTCCTTTTTTTTTTTTTTTTTTTTTGGTGTGTTTCCTTGCAGCTTTTCACTGAAGTCTTCACTCTCTTGAACAGAGCTAACTCCAGCTCTATGTCTGAATTACTCCCATCCCACAATTTCCATCAAATTATAGTTGCAACAGTGTGATAGTAAGAAGATGATCCAGATCCACCCGAAAGAACTAATTCCAATCAGAATTAGTTAGTGTGTGTGTGGATGATATTAGCAAGAATTCATTCCAGTCTTCCCTTGCCAATAGTTTCTCAGCATGGACCTGTGTGACGTCTTTTGCAGGCTGAGCATCTGTAAACCCAACCTGTGACAGTTTGGCTCATTGTGCATCTGGTGAATGAGCGACCTCCCGCCTTACAGCCACTAAAGCAGAGGAATTTCACCATCGATCTGGAGAAGCACTTGAGAGAATGGGAGTAACAGGGCAATAAAGATTGCAATATATCATCAGACTCAGCTGCTGGCCCGTATAGATCAGAGCTGCATTAAGATCATTACAGCCTGCCTGAAGTGATATAAAGAGTAAGCCAGCTCTATGGAGGGAAAGGGGAAGAGCTGCTGATAAAGAAACAAAACCAAACTAAAGAGGAAAGAGAAAAATCAACCACACTTTTTTTTTTTTTTTTTTTTTTTTTGCCAGCCCAGACAAGTGCCTTGAATTTCCACTCTGCTGGAAGCTGCTGTTGGTGAAACACATGCACTAGTTAAAGCAAATCGTTAGGGCCCCACTCCCCTAAGAAACATCCATTTCCTCAAATGAATGAATTACACAAAAAGAAAGGAGGAAACAGCCAGAAAATAGGGAAGAAACAAAAATGAGGAATCTACTTCCTCTGTGAGTCCACACATCAGCAAGATGCTTCAGCTGGCCTCTCACTTGAAGCTTAGGGGCAGTGCTGCTGTCCTCACCAGGCTGGGAGCTGGGGTTGTGCTTTCCAGTCCCATTTGCTCTGCACAAGTGTCCCATGCTGGCCTAACCCCACAGCTCTGCCTTGCCACGTGGGCTTTGCCAGGAGCCTGCCCAGCTGCACCTGGAGCACACAGCTGGATCTGGCAATCTCCCAGATGCTCTGCCAGAGAAAGCTGTGCTCCGAGCTGAAAAATGCAAGTGCAGGAGTAAATCCCACCAGGCTACATCTGCCTATGCTTACTGCAGTGGAAATGGAACCATTTCTACCAGCTGATGATTGGCCCTGCAGGTATTCAGCTTTCAGTGAGCATGTTTGTC